AATATTAAACATACAAGAAATTCGCCAGCGCAAACCGGTGTGCAAGACCGTACCGTTTATTATGATACCGATTCATGACTCCAGACTCCAGTTCATGTTTATCTACACCGGTTTAGACAGAAATTCGGTAATAATATTATAACTAGGACTTGGGTTACCTACCCAAATTATAAAGCTTAAATTAAACAGCCGTTGTCGACATAGCCTATTAAGTATGAACTAATATTAGTTACCTGGTCCATAGTTGTCGATGATAACCGAGACACTGATAATGGTGGAGATAATCTTATCAGTTTATCAGTAGAAGCGAGACCGCGAGAATCGGACGATAAGTTAATAATAATATTTTACACTATAAAACATAATATTATTGAGTATTTAAATTCAGCATTGTTATTTTTAAAATTACCCTCTGCTGTAAGTGAAATAATGTCCATCGTACATCGTTTCGGCTTTCAATGCTTCTCGTCACATCCAAAATGCGAGTGTGTTGTCTTCGGGTGTTCGTCGACGGTGAACTGTGGGATTGCCTGCTGATAGTGAAACTCAACCGGGAATATGTTCTGTACACTACCGTTGACCAGCTTCCGTTCAGCGTATCGGCCGAACTGTGTTCTCTAGGCCTTAATGGCGCCCGGGACCCCATGCCCACTGTAATGGACGCCAATTGTCTGGAGTGCGTCATCAAGGCGCTGGAAAACAGTGACACGCTCAAGCGGTCCGTCTTGCGACGGATGAACAGTGTTGCATCGGTGGACAACAACAACATTGTGGTCGGCTTCAATGACGTCCGGCTTGTGACACCAGACAAATATAGACTGCCTTACACATGGTAAACTACAACTGTCTGCAACACACTTTGAAAAAATTATACTATACTATACTCTGTCTTGAATGATTTTCGATAAATAAAAAAAAATGTATATTGTACTTCATAAACCTAGTAGTAATTAATAATAATAATCATCTACTGTTTTTGCATAAGAAAAACGTGAGCTGTTGTTTCATCAAATGTATAATTTCAGGTGTGAACTGTATGAAAAAACTGATACAGAATACAGAGAGCTTGAAAACATTATGGCTTGGTTATCAACTCTTGGTGGAGCATTTTCATCATTGGGCGATCAGACTGAACACTGTGTAAGTACAGTTTTGATTATTTATCTACTTAAGAGGACAACACACCCGTATGTGTTATCTCTGTCTTAAAAACATATAACATGGACAATTTTACGTTCACAATAATGCATTTTACTCTGTAGTTTCTAAAATTAGAGTGAAATGTCCTCTTTAAAACCTAAAGGTAAGATTATTATTTGGACATCCCATACACTTTTTTTATATTTTAATTTTAAAGCTAGTTATGAGTATTTTTAGATATACAAACAATTTACAATTTTAAAACACTCTCAACTAGCTTTAAAATTAAAATATAATAAAAAGGCGTATGAGATGCCTAAATAATAATCTTACCTTTAGATTTTACAAGAAGTCATTTTTTTTTCTAATTTTAGATGTTACAGAGTAAAATGTATTATTGTGAAATTTGTTATGTTGTATGTTTGTAAGAGTGTGACACAAGGTGACACATGAATGTGATGTCCTCTTAACACATTATTTTTGATACTATGCTTTTTTCTGTTCTATTTTTGACTGCTACATGGGTCTAAAATATTAAAGAGTGGCACCTAATATATTATGCAAATAAAAATGTTGTAATAATTTAAAATATTTCATTTGCTTTTGCTTTTAGGCAATTGTAGCAGGAAATATTTCACTGCAACAATTAAAAGTTGCAATGCGAATTGGTGATCCTTTGACCGCAGCCCGTTGTAAACTGTATGCTGCTATTAGTCTCATGCAACGTGGTTTTTATAAGCAAGCTAAATTCATTGTTCAGAGTCAATACTTGTTTATTAAATCTCAATTAGTTGTCGATGAGCGACTTGTCAAAATGTGTTGTGGTGTATGGACAAAGTTACGTTATGAATGGAATCAAAAAAAATGTCTTAAAAAAAACACAACCGGAAAAAAAATTTAAAAAATGTTCTACAATTTAACAATAAATCATTAATTATAATTAAATTAAATTAAAGAAAAATATTTTTACTGAGCTCCTGCATTATTTTTGTACTTGCATTTAAATATCAGAAATATTAAATTAATTTTTAATGATCCAAACTCATTCAATTATTTGTATCAATATAAGTTATAACTATTTAATATTTTCTGGGATATTTTGTAATAATAATAAACACACTACTATGATCAACTCTAACCGACTCATCTATAAATCTCCAATTCAACCAATGTGTATCCACCTAATAGAAAATTCAAAAAGTGAAACCTGATTAAAATTAAATTGTTTCAAAATGTAGCACTCAGAAAACTAGTAAATTCCCCCATCATCTAAGCCACCAGTAACATACATTTATATTATAAATTACATAATCTTATACAGTACATAAAAGCTGGAGTTTTCCAGGGTAGTGACCTTACGCCTACACTCTATAATATCTCAACCTCTGATATACCAACATCAAATCAAACTCATCTCGCCTCATTTGCTGACAACACAGCAATACTTACATCAAATAAATTTCCTGATATCGCATCTCAACATTTACAATTACGTTTTAATAAAATAGAATCTTTGTCCAATGACTGGAAAATTAAAATTAATGATGATAAATCTGCATCGGTGAATTGTTCACTAAACAAAAGGGAATGCCCCTCACTAAAGTGTAATAACAAACAAATTCCACTTCACCAGTCAACCAAATACCTAGGTACAACTCTAGATAAAAGATTGATCTGGTCAAACCACACCAAGCAAAAACGAAAACAACTTAACTCCCGCCTCCATCTACTTAGACCTCTACCAAAATCAAACATGAGTCTCAAAAACAAACTACTCCTATACAAAGTAAATAGTAATCAGTCCAGTATGGTCATATGGCATCCAAATTTGGGTCCCAGCTAAACCCACATAAATTCGCCCTATTCAAGCCTTCCAGTAAATTACTGTAAGACTTATCAGGTTAAGTAAGGTTATGGTACATAACAAACAAGTTTGCAAAAAGCCACTACAAAAATTTCCATTCAAAATGAACAAACTGCATAAACCCCATCATTCAAAATCAAAATATGTCCTCTCTTACATTACCACAAACTCACCATCGATTAAAAAGAAACTGGTCTAGTGATCTCCTAAAACAGGGGGGAAAAAAAAAATTCTATGATTTTGTTAATGAACAGTCTCCTCTTCACGTTATTCATGTTTGCATAATATTATCTTCTATATTGTTATCCTTAACTAATTGTTTTTTATTGTAAAATAGATTGAATATATTTTGATAAAAAAAAAAATTATGTAATCTAAAATAGAAAGATTTAACCATTTCTTTTGTTAAGCACCCTTTATCAACATTTTCTGGATCTGCACCTGTCCAACATTAACCTTTTGATACAAAATCTCACAGTGGCTTCAATTCCAAAACAAACATTTCGTAAACAAAAATGTGGCTGTGACCTCTCGACCTTTCCATCCCCCCCTAGTCTAAATCAGAATACGTTCACTGCCGGTAAAAGAGTCAACCATAAGATGACTGACTGCTCACAAAAGTATTGTACATTTCTTATTAGTTCATTGACATGAATAATTAATACTAACATGTATCCTACCCTTAATAGATATATCAATTGTGGTTGCACCCTTTGGGACCCAAAGTTTGGGTAAAGTTTGTGTACTGCAAATAAAGAAAAATAAATTTATTCAATTCACTATGAAATGAATACAACTCAAGTATAGGGTGGGGCAGTGGGTTCTGACGATTTATAGAGAACTGTGGGGAGGTACTAAAGTATATAAGATAAACTAGTTTACCGCCAAATTAAAGTTCATGATGTCTAGTTTTACTGTATCCAGTAATCACGGACAGGTGGCCTGTCAATCAGCCCGTTTTTGTCGTTACGGCATTTATTGAGGGTAATAATGGAGATATTACCTGGCCTCAACATTTTCCTGATTTGACTCCACCTGGTTTATTTTTGTGGCGTTATATTTTGAAATCTAAAGTATTCACTAATAATCCGCATACATTATTAGAGTTAAAAGAAAACATTAGACGGGAAATTACAGCCATCGATCTGCATATCCTACAAAGAGTTATAGACAGTACCTTTGAAAAAACGGATAGCCGACTTTTACAAAATGGCCACTCAAGTAATGTAATTTTTAAAAGTAAAGATTTTTGTTGACAACAATTAGAAATAATCTTTATGTTGAATAAAATACAATATGTTTCATTACTTTGTTTATAATACTTGAATAATAAACTACGATTAAAATTCGTCAGAACCCATTGCCCCACCCTGTATATAAAATCCAATCACTAAACAATTGTTGTAAAAAAATGGTAATATTTTATCAACCAAAAAAATGAATTAATTTAATTTAATAAAAAAATATATTTTTATTATATTGATTTGCTAAATAGTTATAGGTTATAACTAGGGCCTGGGACTTAAAGCATTTGCTTATTTTTATGGGTTGACTTAAAATGTATCATAGTGCTAAGGAAGTGTATGTCATGTTACAACACATTCAATTATGAAATTTGAAAGTGCTTTTTTTGCCTTTTTCAGCAATTTTTCGAAAAAATGCTCAATTCCAGTTTTTCTGATTATTTATGCTTTTTTTACCAGTTTTTCACTGCCACGCTGATTAATTTTTCAATGGTGTGAAATATAAATCTTAGAAAAATAGTAAATAGTAATAAGAAACTACAACTTTATTACATTTTGATTATATTTCAGACACCCTAAGATCATAGTAACATTAAATGCATTTGCATGTCATGATAACTAATAAGTACAATCAATTTCATTGATACATCAAGATTTCATAGTACAATTTTTTTTTAAATGTAAAATATAAAATAATTAATGCAGATTTGAATTTAATTATTTAATATCTTTAGTTCTGAATATTTAATTATTTATAATAAAAATGAGGTACTAATGAAACATTATTTGACAAGTAAAAATATTTCAAATAAACTTAATCAATACTTATTACAACTTAGTACTCTTATATCATATTTACATGATTAAACCGCTATAAATCTGTTATTAAATGCAGAGAAAAACACCAATAATTAAGTGTTATTTACTATTTATTTATGTTATAATTTAATTTAATTTAATTTTTATTATGTTATCATTAATTTATTAGTTAATAATTAGTAAATTGATACATTTGCTAATTAGTGTGATACTTAAATACTGTAATATTTTAATAAACTAGATAAAATAATATCAGAAACAAAGTTTATATGATATTATAAAAATAAACATGAGCTATTTACATGTTAATAATTCAGCTGGTAAAATAAAAATAAAAAGCCAATTTTTTGAGTAATAACTAATACTGAAACATGAGGTTTCTAGCGCCATCCATCTCTGATGCTACGGTGATTCCTGAAACATGTCGATGACTCTGTCCACCAATTTCTACTTTACATTCAGGACAAATAGATTGCTGCATTGGCCCTCCACATTCCGTAACACAATAAATGTGGCCATTCGGACATTTACACCAATGACCTTGAGCTTTGATGCCTCCTGAAAAACTGGTGGACATAGCGGCATGAATCATCTGCCTTTCATCATCTGTTATTAAAGGAAGATCATCAATTTTTTGTTGGATTTCTTCTGTTAACTTATTTATATCCTGATCCCTGCTTAATGTATAAATGCTGCATGACATTAATAATGCCTCCATATTATCTACTGTTTTTTTTATTTCATTAGTATCAAGAGTTTGCATTGTAACTGCAGCTTGAAATTTTCCATTAGACATGATCTCAAATAAATTTAAAATTCTTGAACCACGTATCATTTCCATGCGTATATCAGATTTTTGCTGATTTGACAACTGTTGTGCATAAGTGAAAGCAACAGACAAAATCCAATCAAAGTGATTAATTATAGTTTGTTTTCTTTGGCCATCTTTGATTTCTTTAATTCTATTTTTAAACTTTGAAGTATTTATAAACAAATCAATGACAAAATTTAACGATTCAATATCATTGGCGGGCAAAGTGAACTTTGAACGTTTATTATTCAAAAATCCAAATAAAGGCTTACAAAATGTATTCCATGAATGTTTGATATTACAATGTTTATCACCAATATAATTTGAAATAAAATTTTTATCCAAGGATTTTAGTGATTCAATTACTGTCTTTGTTTTGCTGCGAATTACAGCTAATTCTCCATACTGTTTTGTTTTAATTTTTGATATATCTTTTAATATAACTTTTACTTGGTTCAGGAAACGTTGGGTTTTTAAAATTGGTGTTTTACATAACGGACACTGTTTCAAACATATTTCTTCATCATTTTGGTTCATCCATTTTGTTAAGGCTTCTGATTCTATAGTGTGTTCACAATCTTCTAAATAAACAAATCTAAAAAATAAAATAAATAATACATCAACATTAATTAATATACAGAAAAATCACAGCTGGTGCAAAAAGAATGTTGCCATGACATAATATATATTTATTGTAATAAAATATAATATAATATAATTATACGACACAATATAACCTTAGAGCGTTATGCCAAAGCAAAATATCTACATCTATGAATATATAAAAATAACTAATACAATTTTAATTTCATACACAGGGTGATTTTTTAAACACACTTGCCCTATTTGTTTTCTTAAATTATACATACATTCAAATTCTGATTTTTGAAATTTTTAAATTGGTATACTTGATAACCATATTTTAGAATACATTGGTTTTTTTGTACCATAAAAGGATAAAAATAAGAATAAACCTGTGACAATACAAACTTCTGTTTGTTTATTAATTTGAAAAAATGATCTAAGTATAATGAATACTACAACTAGAGGACTACTTATAGTTAATAATTTTGTAAAGCCATATTTAAGGATTATCATTGTATAAACATTTTAATAACTCAGAAACTACTTATTAGAATTTTGATTTAGATACATCAACATTTTCAAGAAAATCATACATTAAATGATTTGTAAATTTGAAATAATACAACTATCATTTGAAAAATGAGAGTAAATGAAATTTGTATTCCCACAGGACACTTCTTAAATAGTATAAAAAATATCAAGAATTTGAAAATGTGGTCTTTTTAGATATACTTAAAAATCCTAAATATTAGATTTGAATAATTGTATTATTAAAGGAAAAAATAAGGGTAATCATGATTAAAAAAAATCACCTTGTATACTAACAAAATATCACTAACAAAAACCCAAGGTCTGTCACAAAATAAAAAAATACAAATATCTTACAGATATTTCTTCCAATTTACCTTGCATTTGGTTCATCTTCATTGCCAAAAACTATTGTTGTAACTTCGTCTTCTTGACAAATTCGACATAAAGGAGGACATGGTTCTCCACAATAACCAATACACTCATGTCCACATTTCAACTTTAATGTGCAAGGCTCATAACAAGGTCTTCGGTTACATAAATCATAACATTTTCTAGTGCATTTTAAATGTTTACACTTCCACTCACATTTTTCCTGTTTATACAATCAACAAAAATAAATCATGGTCAAAAGGTTCAATTATATTCAGCAGGATGTACCTTAGTTAACCAATTCACAAATAAAACATAAGTCAACTACAAATCATAGTCCACAGACAGTAGAAATAAGTTAAAAAAATTATACATATAAAAATTTATTTTTATTGGTTATTACCTTGCATGGTACACATGGTTGACCACACACCTTGCTACATCTAGAATGAACACAAGAATAGATGCATTTCTGGTTACAAGGGGGACACCGCTCCTTACAAGGAAATTTACATCTGTAAAAATAAATTATTATAAAGGATTAATGATTAATTATTTCATGATTTTAAATAAAAATGTACACATACGTATGATTGCATGGATTTATCTTGTTGCAAATCTCACTGCAAGGTACATGTAAACGTCCTTGCTTACATTCTCCACATGTTCCCAAACAAATATCGTTACAATTTAATTTTTGTAAACATGGTTCACGGCATTTATCAAGTAAATATTGGCTGTCCATTTTGAACTCTAAATACATTATTTTTGTTTAAAAAATGTATTTACCTACTATTTACAAGTTAGATATATACTGGTTATTACATAGGTGTCACAAATAAAAAATTAAAAAGTGGTTTGCAACAATTTAATAATATTGTTCAAATCAAATCAAAATCAATTGTTTTTCAATACTTGTTCAAACAGTTGTACAATAAAATTTATAATGACAAACTAATATGCCAAAGGTCAAACAGTTATTAGTGTACTTTTTGATTAAAGTGAATTTAAATAAAATACATATAGATCCGGCAATGACAGCTCGAATTTGTTATCCAGGGTGATTTTACATAGAAAATTTAAGGATGTTTTTGATTTAAATGGACTTTGCAAGCAAGTATATAATACTCTAGTAGTCTAGTACTAGTTTGTACTATATGGGAAGTCTATACTATATTGGTGTACAGTACCATTAACTGAAAACGACTGAAATAAGTATTTTAAACACAGAATTATTTAAAAAGTAGGTACTTCAAAAAATTATAAATGGCACTGCAATTTAAAATAACAAAAAACTAATAATACTATGATATCAAATAATACCTTCATATTTGTCACAGCACAAAACCCAAACTCTGTTATGACCACAAGCAAGTTTGCTACTTTTTTGCAATACGATTTCTTCACAATTTATATCTGTACATTTTTTTGAACATGCACTCTTACATATATGCCCACAATCTAAAAATCGTTCACATTTCTTAGTACAAAGCTTACGTTCTGGTATAGTTTTACATTTCATCGTAATTGAATGACCACAGTCTGGAATAACTTTTATTACCTAAAAATTAATTTTATTGATCAAACCAGAAAACACATTTAAATTTATCAAACCAGAAAACATTTAAATATCTAACTTACTTGATTTTCACAAGGTTTACATTTTTCATAGCATTTAGATTGACACTTATGATCGCATTTTAATAGACGATCACATGGAAGAATACATTTAATCTCATTGATATTTAATCCACAAGGAATATCATTCTTAATGTGTTCACAAGGCAAAACTTTCTTTACTTTAACAGTGCACAATGAACAATCTTCATAACACAACTTTTGACATTTGTGATTTAGAGAGCACTTTTTATTGACATTTTCACAAGGTTTTAAGCATTTATACTGTGGAAAAAATTATAAATTGAATAAATTATTTTAATATATATTTTACGATACAAAAAAAATCTTATAAACCAACACTACCTCTTCGTGATCTGGATCATCATTCTTGTGACAATTTTTTTCACAAGCATGACCACAATCCAATCGATCAATACATTTATATGAACAGATTGGTTTTTTGTCATGACATTTCTTCAAAATTGTATGACCACATTTTTCTAGGACTGATTCTACCTAAATATTTCATATTAATGAGAACAAAAATGTTATTAAAATAATACAGTATGAAAAATAATAACAATAAATCCAACCATTTCTTCACATGGATAAGTAAGAACATCTACAAAACATGGCAATGCCAAATTGTGACCACATGGTAATTCTCTGATCATTGATATAGTACAGTTACCACAGTCCATGTAACATATTTTCTTGCAAGGATGATTATAAGCACATGACCTATTATACAAAGATTATGATGAATAATACAACTATAATTATTAATAATTTTTATTTTAAAAGATTTACTTGTTACACGGCTCCCTGCATTTCAATTCTAAATGGTCACGATCGTGAGAATGACAAATACTTGAACAATAATGACCACATAAGAGCAATGATTTACACATCATGGAACAACCACCACCTTCCTTAATAATATCAAAATCTTCACTCCTTGCAACTTTTGTCATAATACCAGAATGAACAGCACATTCTAAAGTCAATTCATCGCCTTAAAACAAGTCATGCAATCAAATTTAAATTAAAACTATCGACATTATACAATATCAACAAAACTATAATTTTACCGTAAGAACCCTGATTTACTAATGTTTCTTTTATTTGTTTCCACAAATTACCAGATTTGTACAGATTGTCCATGTTACCCATTATGTAAAGTCCATACTTTGCTCTTGACAATGCAACACATATTCTGTTCTCAGTTTTCAAAAATCCAACATTTCCCTTTTCGTTACTTCTAACTAGTGATAGCAATATTATATCACTTTCTTCTCCTTGATAATTATCTACCACTGTGATCTTCATCCCTTCTAATATTGAATGTTTTTTCCTCAACTTAAAATATATTATACAATGAATTATTCATATTTTAATACTTAATAATTTCAATAAAAAAAATAATATTAATAATGCTTTGAATCAAATCAGTTATCATTTATATTGTCCTAAATTAGAACTTAAAAACAGGCTTACCGAACGAATTAGAAATAATTGACCACTGTAAGTTGTTAATATTGTAACTTGATCAGTTTTATATCCTTGTAAAATTAAATGCCTAGCAAACATTATTAAAAACCTAGCTTCATAATCATTACTTTTGCTTGAAATTTCTTCAACCTAAGTGGTTATTAAATTGTATTAATTGAATTGGATCATGATAAAATACAGTAACAGACATAACATACTTCGTTTTCATATATATTATGATTTAGGAAGAATACATCTTTTGTAACACCACGTATGTGTTCCCTATTGTGAACAGAAATATGATTTTTCAATTCATTGTATATTGATGGAGTTATAAGAGATGATATTTCAGGGCGCATTCTATGTTGTTCGCCTAACGTGTAACAAGGTACATCATTGTTGACCATACGTTCAAACAACGAAATATCAAAATTAAAATCTTTTGCCAGTTTGTAAACTGCATTACTAGGACGCAGTTGTTTATGATCACCTTTAAAATTATAAATAATTAACTTACATATATGTTTGCATATGGTTACTTACAAATACCTACCTATTAATATTAGATGTTGGCAGTGACTTGTCAAAGAAGAGACAATATGTGCTTCCAGAACTTCAGCAGCTTCTTCAACAACCACTGAAAATTAATATTTATTATACAGTTTGTTAAAAAAGTAATTTAACATCATTATTCTTACCAATTGGTGATTCTAATCCTTCTAGCATTATTCTGTGTTTAGCAGCACCAGTTGTAGTTAATGCTATTACATGCATCTTATTTAAGAGCTCTACATTTTGCAACTCTCTTAACTCAGCATATTGCTTATAAACTTGAGTATACTTTTGTTCACAATCTATTATTTTTGGATCGAACATAGCTTTGGTTTCTTTTACCCAACAAAAATATAAAGACCACCTTTGCCTCATATTTAAAACATATACATCTTTCATTGTTCGCGGTAATTCAATTTCAGTATCAACTAAATTCAACATATATTCAAAATAATCATGTACTTTTTCCATTACACCGAAGTTGAACTTAGCTTCTTCAGATTCGTTAAAGAAATTTACATCAAAATTTAATAGATTCTCTAATCGTATACTCTCCTCAAGTAGTTCTTTGCAAGCATTTTTTATGTCGTCTAATGTGATACTATAAATTACAATATCTTTACTATTGAGTTCTAGATCTAAGTAGTCTGGTTCATATGGTTCTTCTTCATCATCATCTTTAACCACTTCTTTTTGGATTTCTAACAATTGTTCTGAGTGATAAACCCTATCAATCAAATCATTGCAGACTCCAGTTATAAACCCAATTGGGTCTACACTAAAATAATCAAAATCTTGAAATAACCAAGAAAGGAGATCCAAAGTTGTGTTGAAAAAATGATGATATTGTTTAGGCATTCCGTTTTTCAACAATGATAATTCTAATATTCCAGCATTGTATGATACAACTTCACTACATTTCTTAAAATATTTAATGTTCTCCATAGTAGTTTTGACTTGTTCACCAATATTATGAAGACCTCTATTAGTTGTAATGGATCTTCTGTACATACGAGATATGTTCTTTAAACTGTATTCTTCAATTATTTTTGATTTAGATTGACCTCCAATTCTAATAACTTTGTTTGTAAAACTCAATATGCCTTCCATAAATTGGTCAAGAGCATGATTTGTGTAACAAACTACTAAAATTGGTTTGGTGAGTAATGGATTGTCGTATAAATTATTTATAATTGTTTTCATTATTTTCAATCCAATGAATGTTTTTCCAGTACCAGGTGGTCCTTGAATAACTGTAAATTCTTGTGTCAACGCCGCTCTAAATGCTCCATATTGCATTTCATCGAGTCCTAGCTGTTCTTTTGTAGGCCAATGATTTTGACTCAGTACTTGAAATTTAACCAAATCATCAATTGCATAATAGGTAGGTTCAGGTAACATGTCAATATAATATGGATAGTCGATCTTATTACAAGCTGATATTATATACTTTTCCATAGGGAAATTACGACTATTAATGTTTTTAAGAACTTCCATTGAACATTTATATGGTTCAAAAAATACTTCACTTTCTACCATAGTTAGAGGCGTATTGAATATAGGTTTTGCATCTTCTAATAATTCCACGATTATCTTTCCTTGTGTCAAAAGTTCAATCTTCCGCTCCATAACAATACCCATGAAAAAAGTCCTAAAATCATTTCCGGAAAATAGTAATAAAGATCCATACATAAATCGTTTTGCCATATCCCAGTTGATTCTTAATTTATATTTTTTTTCAAAGTTAACTAGATAACCATATTTATCACGAACAAATTCACCTTTCTTTTCAAATTCAATGTCACGGTAAATACGGATATTATTTATTTTTTTTCGACGTTCATGTTGATTATTTATTGTGTCTTTATAAAATTGTATACCGTCTCGTAGTGGAGCAATGAAATCTTCACGTAATAGACGAAATTGAACATCTAAATAGTGTTCTAAATTCTGATAAGCTCCTTTAGAGATATTAGGTCGTAAAAATCGTTCTCCACGTTCGAGATCAACTGCAGTCGGATATACTGTTAGTTCTCTAAAATTTTCAGGCGGAGGCATTAGTTGTGCAATATTTTCAAAAACTAATTTTTCTTTCAATTGTAATTCCTCTGTTAAGACAGTGTCCTTGAGCTTTTCTAGCAATTCATTCATTTTAACTATTGTAGTTTCATTTATTTTAATATGATTACAATAACTTTTAATACCATTTAAAGCAATATTACTACTTACTATTATTTCTTTTAACTTTTCTTTTGCTGTTTTTGGAAATAATGTAGTTATAGATTGAAACACAACTAAACAATCTTCATAAAATGTATTCATATTGTTGCATCTATTTATCTTCTTTTCAGTTGGTGTGTTCAATATATATGTTTTTAGATGGTCAAAAAATTGATTGCACATGAGTTCTGTAAGTAAAAAAATTTTGCTTTGTGTTAATTCAGTAGAACAAATCTTAGCTGAAACTTTCATAAGCAAATAAATCCAATCTGGTTCTTTATTTTGTTTAAAAAGGTCCATGAATCCGTTCATTTTATTAGACATCACAAATACAATTTCAGAAGCATCCTTGGAACATAATTCTTCGAGTAGTTTGTATCCGAATTTAAAATTACTGTTAGTTTTAATTTCATTTTGATTCGTTTTATTATTATATGATTCCTTTATTGAAGATTTTACTTTATATTTTTGTTGTTCTTGGTGATTAGAACTGTTTGATTGTTCCAGTTTTTTTTGCTTTCTTGATAATTCAATATCATATGAATTATTATCTACATTTTCTAATTGTGATGGTGTTTTGAAACCTCTAGTTCTTTCCTTAAAACTTTGGTCATTTTGGTGTCTATTATTAAACTTCTTTTTTCTTGGACCCATTATCAGATACCTTTTAACACATATAATCTTTAGAGTTTATAATAAATGCATATTAAAATACTGTTATTTACTTATATTTATTTTTGCTTAGTACATTTTTATGTTAGGTTTAGGTACATGGTTTTGCCTAATATTAATTTAATACACATGCAAGTGATACTATTATATTATTAATTATTACTATACTTTTTTGTTTAAAAAATTATTCTCATTATAAAAATGACATTATTACTATTTTTTGGAAAGTGATTTTTTTAATTATTGTTTCTCCTTATTTGTTCAAGTATTAGTTATTAATACTTATAATGCTGGAGCATTTAATCATATTATAATATACAAACTTAAACTTTTTAACTTTCAAAAGATACTAGGTACTTATACAATTATTTCTAAATTTAATTCTCAGCACTTAATTTAAGATAAGAAAATGCCTTTTCTTTAGGAATTGTGTTATGTAAACATTAAATGCCTTTGTAGCTTATGAGTTTCTATTTCCAATTAATTTACCCGCTGTAAATGCAAATGTAGGTTATAATTGTATATATGCTCTGGACTTTAGTGTCTTACAATGTAGTTAAGTTGAGTTTATTCCCATAAACTTATCTTACCTACTAAAAGTATATTTAAAATGTTAATTTAGCTAGGTACAATGACTTACCTATTACATAACTTATCTGTTTATGTAGCTTAACAGAAGTGAATAATTTGGATAACTTATTCAGTACAGAATTTGCAGATCAATACGTCATATTACAACATATTGAAACAATTTAAGAATATTCAGCCTATATTTCATTTTTCAGAATGTATTTGTTCATAAAAAGCAATATTTGACATTTTGTTCATTTCTCAAGACAAAATATTTCATCACACAAAAAATAAAATGTTTTTAATTTTAAAATGAAAAATGATAAAAATTGTTCAATAATTTGTAATTGAATTGGAATTTTTAAATTTTTAAATTGATTTAAGTGTGCCTGAACTTAAATAATTTACCTAAGAAGAGGTGTGCAATAATAATTTTCAATCTCAAGCATATATTATTACGTGATGTGCAACAAATGGATGGTAAATGTAAATATCATAAGTTTATCAAGTTGAATTTAAAGGTATACTATATATTTTACATAATATGGTTCTATTGTTATATTTCAGAGGCAATTCGAGTGTCACTGCCGTCAGTAGTTAGGTAAGTAGACGTAGACACTTAGGTGTGTCACACCTTATTAATTATTAGTTATTATTTTATTAATAATAGTAGGTATCTATAGCTTATAGACATACTTATTACTTAATACTCATTCTCAAAAACATTTTAGAGATTTGGCGTCCTACGTCTTTATTTAGACATGTAAATAGGTCGTTTGTGTTGTCTCCGTCTTACCAACAAGTAACATGGAAAATTTACGCTCAGCCATATATTGCGCTCAGCAGATCACGTTTAATTCCGTTGGCTTAAAAATTAGTGTGAATCTACCTATTATGAAACTTGATGGTAAGATCATTATGTCTATGTGTTCCAATATTATGTTGGGTTTTAATGATAGTTCAATTTCTAAGTGAGTTATTGGCATTTTTAGTTTACGCCATATAATATACGCTATACGCATAACTTGCTAAAAAAATTGAACTATCGTAAAAATCCAAAATGAAGAACGCAGATCATGTTCTAGACGTCAAGTTTCAATAGATTAATACACCCTAATTCTAAAATCAACGGAATTAAACGTGATCTGCTGAGGGTAAATTTACCATGTTTTGTAAGACGTACGGGTGTGGCATCTTCTTATAGGACGTGAGCACCGCGTTAAGACTGTAAGAGAGAGGGCAACGCGAGTCTTCGAGCGAGGCACGTATGATTGAAGCGATTCCGATAGACCTATATTTTTGTATGTTTGTTTTTAGATCAATTTTCTGAATTAACTAGTGTACGAAACATGAATAATCATTTTATTTTCGGTGCCTACCGACTATTGACTTTGAGTAGCCTTATTTCGAGACTTCGAGTCCGATCTGCACCGATTAATTTATGGTAGAGGTGTACCATCGAAAGATGGGTATAGTCAATAGCCGTATAGGACATTAGGACCATATTGCAGTATCGCCGTATCGGTAAATTCATTTCGAGGCAACGACACTAAAAAATTACTAAAATTCATTCGAAAATGTATAAGCGTCAATGCAAGGTATTCATTATTTTTTGTGGTAATTTTGTATCGAGAATCGAGATATCTAAAATCTTATTTAAATATTATAAGGTTATAATAATCGATTATGAAAACCAGAAAACCATGGCTAAATAACAATATATTTAACCATTATGAAAACGTGCGGTTTTTTTTACGACTTCATAACATCCGGAGTCATGCATGTTTTTGCGATTTTAAGAATTTTGTTTGGATTGTTTTTAACGCATTCTATACAAAAAACCGACTTATAAACTTATTATAACATGATGTCGTTGTAGCGTAATTGCCTACTCATAATTATTAATTTACAATAATATGTCACATGCACGTGTTTGTGTTTGCTGCCGCATATAGCGCACAACACTGCTTTACACCTTAAATTACTATTTATTAACTCTATAATATAGAAACAATGATGTCAAAAAAAAATGCCATCACTAAAATGTTGCAGTTCGATGCCCACGCCCTTATAAAGACGTCAATAACCATCAGGTAAACTACTGCAATACTACAACCTTCATATTAAATTCTCAACATTTATTATTTTAACTAAACCATTGATCTGTTTATATTATTGTACGACGTGTACCTACTAATTCTGTAGTTATTAAAAACTGTAGACCGACTAGACCGTGGTTTAAATTAACATAGTTATAAGGAAAAATTATGTTAGAATAAAGAAATTATAAATACGCCATTACCTGCCTTTCGATTGAAGTATGTGTTCTTCCTCAGTTATATACTTATAAATGGTTCAAAAAAGTACACACTAAATAAACTATAATAATATAACATACTAAATACATGTTTAATGTGTTATAATTAAAATAACCGAAAGATATTCGTGTAGTGACTAGTCTTAGAGTACAATGAGAGTACTTAGAGTCGTCGTAGTTCGTCGCGTATTCAAGTCTCAAAATGTATGAACAGAAGCAGAACGAACAATGAAAGAAAAAATTGAAAATGAAGTTTTATGTAGCTCATTATTGAAGGGAAAAAATATATCTTAGGAGGTTATAAATAAAAAACAGGGATACACTACGATGAGTACGATGTACTCATACCACAAAGACTATATACAAAATTCTAGTCTTCGTGACCCTACCAGTTAGCACAATACCTATAGGGATATAATATTATTATGTACTTATAGTACCAACTTTCTACATAGTACTTAGTTCACATTTCTTTTTTTTATAAATTATTTTATAGTTGGCACTTGGTATTATTTATTTGATTTTTTATATAGTAGGTATCATGATTGTAAAGAACTTCAATAGTTATTTAGTGTGTATTAATATCAACGATGTCTATTATATTACCATAGATAATATAATATTTATATAAGTATATTCATAGACATGTTTATTTGTTTTTCATTCATTTTTATTTATGTCTATGTGCTTAACACATTATTATCAATTTAATGAACAGTGTTCATCTACTGGAAAAATAAAAAAACCAATTACTTCGTTCAAAATAAACTATAATTAAAATATATAATATGCTTGAACAAAAATAATTTATGTATTGATTAAGTTGTTTCAATTAATGAACAGGTTTTTGTATTAAATAATTTACTTAGGCATTTATCTAATTAGTTAGGTATTATAAATTTGACAAATATAGTATTTCAATCTTAGTTTAGCATGAAATATAATTATGGAAGAATTAAAAAAAGGTTTTAAGTAGGCATCTGAATAAGAATAAAAATGTTGGTAATTATTTTTGATTATTATATTAGAAAGTATGTTAAATTTCTAGAATTAATTAATCAGATATGACAATATTTTCTGAGCTTATGTTTGTTTACATTAGGTATTAGATTTTTCAGTATTTAAGGGGACGGATAAGCCGAGTGGATTAAAGTGTCGGTTGCACCATCGCCGGTTCAAACCTCGGTCACGGGAGGCAGTTTTCTCTAGGCAAACACCTGTTTCGAGAGACCGCCATCCTCTCCCCCCCCCCCCCACAATAGAGCATGACAGAAATCTACGGGTGTCCAATCAAAATTCAAATTCAGCCAAATAGGCGCTTGTTGAACTAGGCCTTGAGTCTACTCTTTGACATAGCGCCATATGAAAAAAAAAATAGTCTAAGATATTTTCTTTGTTTGGTAATAAAATATTTTCATGATAAATGTAATAATAAAAATGGTAACTAGTTTTTCAAAAAAAAATGTTACCTATCCAAATGTCCAATATAAATAAACAGTACTCACAAGCCTTAGAAGTCAATTTTCATAAAGAACAATGTGAAACAAGGAAAATATTTGAATGTGAATCCAATATTAATAACTTATTATTATTAACTTTTAATATTATATTAAGAGTTATGAAGTCAACAATACATATTAATAAATTCTCAATCGCCAATTTAATAATTTTCACAAAAATAATGTTTTGAACCCAACATAACATAAAAATATAATAAAACACAAATATAAAATAAAAATAACTCATATTAATTAAGTGAATAGATTTCCTTCCTTCTCATAATAATCAATTTTAATACATATGTCAAGTAACAAATATTTCTGATAGCCATCTCACTCCTGAAACATGACTGCTAATTTGGTCATTACACTGAGGACAATTAATAGACTGCTGAATCAGGATTCCACAATAAATGTGGCCATTTGAACATTTGAACCAATGACCATGACCTCTATCAATGCCAATAAAACTTGTAGACATAGCTGCATGAATCATTTGTTTTTCATTATCTGTTATTAAAGGAAGACATTCAATTTTTTGATGAATTTTTTCTGTTAAATGTTGTATATGTTGATCCTTGATTACTGTGTACATGCTGCATGACATTAACAAATTCTCCATGTCATTTACAATTTTTTCCAGAACATTTGTGTCGGAAGTTTTCATTCTAACTGCGATTTGAAAATTTGTATTGGACATGATCTCAAATAAATTCATAATCCTTACACCACGTGCCATCTCCATATTAATATCAAATTTTTGTTGCTTGGACAACTGATGTGAATAAGTAAATGCAACAGAAAGAATCCAATCAAAGTGATTAATAATAGTTTGTTTTCTTTGGCTATCTTTGATTTCTTTAATTCTATTGTTACACTTAGCAATAGTTTCAAATAAATAAATGACAAAATTTAAAGATTCAATATTATTGGCAGGTAAGGTGAACTTTGAACGTTTTGTACACAAAGAACCCAATAAAGGCTTACAGAACATATCCCATGAATTTTTAATTCTATCATATCTATAATAATCTGTATCACAAATATAGTTAGAAGCAAAATTATTATCCAGGAATTTTAAGGAATTCATTATCGTATTTGTATTGCTACGAATAACAGATAGTTCTCCATATTGTTTTATTTTTATTTTTGATATGTCTTCAAATATAAACTTTACTTGGTTCATGAAACGTTGGGTTTTTAAAATCGGTTTTTTACATAATGGACACTTTTTAAAAGATATTTTTCCATTGTTTTGGTCCATCCATTTTGTTAAAGCTTCAGATTCTATAGTGTGTTCACAATCTTCTAAATAAATAAACCTAAAAATGATCACATCAACATTAAATAATATACAGAAAAATCACGTTAATAATAGAATATTAACAGTATATATTATGATATAAATAAAATATGACATAAAGCCTTAGTTAGCCATCAGAAAAATTGAATCATTAGTTTCCACAAGCATATAAAAATGAATAATTAATAAATACAATTTAGTTTAAATTAACAATAAAATTCCCAATATTTTTAACAAAATAAAAAAAAAAAAATGTCTCACAAATATTCCTTTTAATTTACCTTGCATTTGGATTATCTTCATTGCCAAAAATTATTGTAGTTACTTCATATTCTTGACAAATGCGACATAGTGGGGGACACGGTTCACCACAAAAACCTATACACTCATGCCCACATTTCAACTTTATCGTACAATGCTCATAACAAGGATTACGATCACAATACTCATAACATTTTCTGGTACATATCAAATGTGGACACTTCCAATCACACTTCTCCTATTAATGAAATCAACATTAACAAATATATCATGATTACAAGATTCAAGTACATATAATGGTCTGTAAAGTTAATTCAAACATTACTAACATCAAAAACATCACACATGGCAGACAGTGAAAATAAAAATTAGAGTGAAAAAAATGTAAAAGAAATATATACATTTTTATTTTCATTGGGTATTACTTAGGAATTATTTATTACCTTGCACGGTACACATGGATTACCACAAAGACTAGTACATCTAGAATGCACACAAGAATAGACACATTCCTGATTACAAGGGGGACACCGCTCCTTACAGGGGAATCTTCATCTGTTAAAATAAATAACTATACATAATTATGACAAATAAATACATGGATTTTAAATAAAAATATTTACACGTACATATGATTGCATGGGTTTATCTTGTTGCAAATGTCACTGCAGGGTATATGTAAACGTCCTTGTTTACATTCTCCACATGTTCCCGAGCAAATATTGTTACAATTTAATTTTTGTAAACATGGTTCACGGCATTTATCAAGTAGATATTGGCTGTCCAGTTTGAACTCTATAATATTTAGTTTTTATTTTTTATTTGGATTTGAAATTTAAAAAATATAAGTATTACAAAACCGAAACATTTCCTAGATTTACATTATAACATGATTTTTTTTTATGAATTACGTACCTAATATGAACATATTAGTCATATACTTATAAAGTTATATCATGTACATTAAATAAAAAATAAAATAAAATAGGTTTTGACAATCAATAAAAAAAAAAAATATGGTATATTATTACATGATTTAATTACAAAGGTACAAAGATGTTTACCTATATCCTTGTCACTGCATAAAACTCAAATGCTATTATGACCACAAGCGAGTTGACTATTTTTTTGTAAAATTATTTCCTCACAAACATTAGTTGTACATTCTTCTGCACATAAATTCTTACACATATGCCCACAATCTAGAACTTGATTACATTGCTTTGTACAAAGCTTACGTTCTGGTGCAACTTTACATTTCATCGAGATTGAGTGGCCACAATCTGGAATAACTTTTATTACCTAAAAATAAATTTAAATAATCAGAACAGATAAAACACATTAGAATATCTAACTTACTTGATTATCACAAGGTGCGCATGTTTTGTAGCATTTAGATTGACACTTATGGTCACATTTTAATGGACGATCACAAGGAAGAATACATTTAATCTCATCAATATTTAATCCACAAAGACTATCATTCTTGATGTGTCCACAACGCAGAACTTTCTGAACTTTAACATCGCAATATAATGAACAATCTTCATAACACATCTTTTGACATTTGTGATTTAAAGAGCACTTTTTGCTCATATTTTCACAAGGTTTTAAGCATTTATACTGTGGATATATTTATAAAATAACAATATTAAAATATAAAATAATTTTTCAAAAACTAATAGTAGAGGTACCTTCTCGTGTTCTGGATCATCATTCTTGTGACAATTTTTTTCACAAGCATGACCACAATCTAACCGATCTATACATTTATATGAGCAGTTTGGTTTTTTGTCATGACATTTTTTTAAAATTGTATGACCACATATTTCTAGGACAACTTCCACCTAAAATTAAATTCAAGTGCATTGTGTATATGTAATTTAAATAATATAACATGAAAATAAATAGTAATAAATCCAACCATTTCTTCACAGGGATAAGTAAGAATATCAACAAAACATGGTAATGTTAATTGGTGACCACACGGTAACTCTTTGATTAATGGCACAGCGCACTTTCCACAATCCATAAAACAGTTTTTTTCACATGGATGATTATAATCACAAAACCTATGATATAAAATTACATAACAAAATAACTTTTTAAGAAAATGGTAAATTAAAACATTATACTTATTACACGGCTTCATGCATTTAAATTTCAAATGCTCACGGTCATAAGAATGACATACACTTGAACAATAATGACCACACAATAACAATGATTTACACATAATGGAAAAACCACCACCTTCCTTAATAATATCAAAATCTTCACTCCTTGCAACTTTTGTCATAATACCAGAATGAACAGCACATTCTAAAGTCAATTCATCGCCTTAAAACAAGTCATGCAATCAAATTTAAATTAAAACTATCGACATTATACAATATCAACAAAACTATAATTTTACCGTAAGAACCCTGATTTACTAAAGTTTCTTTTATTTGTTTCCACAAATTACCAGAATTGTACAGATTGTCCATGTTACCCATTATGTAAAGTCCATACTTTGCTCTTGACAATGCAACACATATTCTGTTCTCAGTTTTCAAAAATCCAACATTTCCCTTTTCGTTACTTCTAACTAGTGATAGCAATATTATATCACTTTCTTCTCCTTGATAATTATCTACCACTGTGATCTTCATCCCTTCCAATTGTGAATATTTTTTTCGCAACTAAGTATTTTATAAAATGTATTAGTTTTTATTATTAATTAATTCCAACAAATATCATCAAAGTAATATTTATAATAAACAATACCACATTGATAATCATTAGGTACAAAGTTAGTCATTAAAATATTTTGAAAAAGAATTGTAGAGTTCACATACCGACTGAATTTGAAACATTTGACTACTGTAAGTTGTTAAAATTGTAACTTGATCAGTATTATATCCTTGTAAAATTAAATGCCAAGCAAACATAATTAAAAAGCTAGCTTCATGATTATTACTTTTGCTTGAAATGTCTGCAACCTAAATACACAAGTAAATTACATTCATTTAATTTTAGAATAATTAAATACAATCACGGATTTAACATACTTCGTTTTCATATATATTATGATTTAGAAAGAATACATCTTTGGTAACACCGCGAATGTGTTCTCTATTACTAACAGAAATATTATTTTCTAATTTATTGTATATGGATGGAGTTATAAGAGATGCTATTTCAGGGCGCATTCTATGTTGTTCGCCCAATGTGTAACAAGGTACTTCATTATTGACCATACATTCAAACAATGAAATATCAATATTAAAATCTTTTGCCAATTTGTAAACTGCATTACTAGGACGTAGTTGTTTATGGTCACCTTTGAAATGAAAAATAATAAAGTGTTATAATGATTTACAGCATCATTGATCTCATAAGAAAAATGATAAATACCAATTAATATTAGATGTTGACAGTGATATGTTAAAGATGAAACAATGTGTGCTTCCAAAACTTCGGCAGCTTCTTCAACAACAACTAAAAATTAAGGTTATCTATTAAATTTGCTTATAAAATTTTGTATTTAAATATCTTAATTTGAACCTACTAATTGGCGATTCTAATCCTTCCAGCATTATTCTGTGTTTAGCTGCACCGGTAGTTGTTAATGCTACTATATGCATTTTACTTAAAAGCTCTACGTTAGCCAACTGTCTTAATTCAGCATAATGCTTATAGACTTGAGTATACTTTTGTTCATACTTTATTATTTTAGGATCCAACATAGCTTTGGTTTCTTTTACCCAACAAAAATATAAAGACCATCTTTGTCTCATGTTTAGTACATTTAAACTTTTTATTGTTTGTGGTAGTACTATTTCATCATTAGCTAAATTCAACATATTTACAAAATAAACATGTATACTTTCCATTACACCAAAGTTGAATTTGGCTTCTTCATATTCATTAAAAAAATGTACACTTTTATTAGATAGATTCTTCAATCTTAAACTCTCTTCAAGTAGTTCTGTGCAAGCATTTTTTATGTCGTTTAACGATATACTGTAAACAACAATATCTTTATGATTAAGTTCTAGATCTAAGTCATCTGGTTCATATCGCTTTGATTCATCATTATCTTTATTTTCTTCCTTTTCAGCAGTGATAACTCTAATATTCCAGCATTATATGATACAACTTCACTCCATTTCTTAAAATATATGATGTTAGACATAGTATTTTTTAGCTGATTTTCAATATTTCTTAGACCTGTATAAGTAGTTAGGGATTTTTTGTGCGTAGAAGATATATTTCTCAAACTGTATTTTTCTATTATTTTTGACTTGGACTGACCTCCAATTCTAACAACTTTATCTGTGAAACTCAATATACCTTCAATAAATTGGTCAAGAGCATGATTTGTGTAACACACTACAATAATAGGTTTTGTGAGAAATGGCTTCTCATATAAATTACTAATTATTGTTTTAATAATTTTCAATCCAATGAATGTTTTTCCAGTACCAGGTGGTCCTTGAATAACTGTAAATTCTTGTGTCAACACCGCTCTAAATGCTCCATATTGCATTTCATCAAGTCCTAGCTATTCTTATGTAGGCCAATGATTTTGACTCAGTACTTGAAATTTAACCAAATCATCAATTGCATAGTAGGTGTGTTCAGGTAACTCATCAATATAATATGGATAGTCGATCTTATTACAAGCTGATATTATATACTTTTCCATAGGAAATTTAAGTGTATTAATATTTTTTAAAACTTCCATTGAACATTTATATGGTTCAAAAAATACTTCACTTTCTACCATAGTTAGAGGCGTATTAAATAAAGGTTTTGCATCTTCTAATAATTGCACAATTAACTTTCCTTGTGTCAAAAGTTCTATCTTTCGCTCCATGACAATACCCAAAAAAAAAGTCCTAAAATCATTTAAAGAAAACAGTAATAAAGAACCATACATAAATTGCTTTGTCACTTCCCAGTTGATTTTTAATTTATTTTTTTTGTCAAAGTTTATCAGATAACCATATTTATCACGACCAAATTCACATTTTTTTTCAAATTCAACATCGCTATGAATACGTATATTGTTTTTTTTTTTTCGATCATTTAGTGTGTCTTTATAAAATTGAATACCTTCTCGTAGAGGAGCAATAAAATCTTCACGTAAAAGACGAAATTGAACATCTAAGTAGTGCTCTACATTTTGATAAGTTCCTTTGGAGATATTTGGTCGTAAAAATGGTTCTCCATAATCAAGATCAACTGCAGTTGGATATGCAGTTAGTTTTCTAAAATTTTCTGGCGGGGGCCTGGATTGTCCAAAATTTTCATTTTCAAATGTTTCTTTCAACTTTAATTCCTCTGGTAACTTAGCCTTAATGAGGTTTTTCAGCAAATCATTTATTTCAATTATTGTAGATTCATTAATTTCAATATGATTACAATAACTTTTTATAACGTTTACGGCAATATTACTTATTATGATTAATTCCTTTAACTCTTCTTCTGCTTCTTTTGGAAATAATGTATTGATAGATTGGAAAACCACTAAACAATATTCATAAAATGTACTCATATTGTTGCATCGTTTAATGTTTTTTTCAGTTGGTGTGCTCAGTATGTATGTTTTTAGATGATCAAAAAATTGTTTGCACATAAGTTCTGTTAGCAAGAAATGTTTACTCTGTATTAATTCAGTTGAACAAACCTTAGCTGAAACTTTCATAAGCAAAAAAATCCAATCTGGTTCTTTATTTTGTTTAAATAAGTCCATGAATCCATTAACTTCATTGCACATCACAAATACTATCTCATAAGCATCCTTGCAACATAGTTCTGCAAGACGTATAAATCCAAAGCTGTATCTATTGATATATTTTTTTTCAGTTTTGCGATTATTAAAATGTTCATTTACCTCAAATTGTTTTCCTCCCCATATTTCTTGTTTATCTTCTGAATTACGGTTTTTTACCCACTGTTCTGATCTATTAGGAGATTTCTGCTTTTTTCTCCATTGTTCCTTAGTTTTAGAACTACTTGGCTGTGGCTGTTCCTTTTGCTCTTCAGATGACTTTAAATCAGATTGAATATTTTCTTCATTTACTGATGGATTTGTTCTGATGATTTTATACGGGTGATTTTGACCTTGGTCATTCTGGACTATTTTCTTGTACATAATTTGTTAAATTTTAGGTAGGTCTTGGATTTAAATTTGTATCCTGTCATAGAATAAATACAAACCATAATAAACTATAGATTTTATAAGTATGATAAATATTTTTTTAGAAAGAACACACTACTGTTTATAGGTATATTGTGCCACAATATTAATGGACATTATTTGATATTTTAATAATTATAAGGGTAGTTCATAAAATAATTTCAAAATTACCATCAAAAGGTAAAGTACATAAAAACTAAATTATGTATTATGAAAATATAATTGAAATAAGTACAATTGACATCAGATAGATTGGCACAGCAGTATCAGCGATTAACAGTTTCTAATTTTCTATAGTCTGGTATTAAATATTAATTAATATCTCTTTTTTTTTCTTTAAAAGGCGGACAGAATAATTCCATTTAAATTAATAATTAATACTATATCAGTTTTGAAATGTTGTGGGACAATTGTTCGTAAGTTAATATATTTGGAAATAACAACAAAATAATGGAGAACCCCTTGTTTCTTATTTGTACTACAGACACCATGCCAATCTATCCGATGCCGATTGTAGCTAATTTCCCTAGCGCTTTACTTATAAACAAGGTTCAGGACTTATAGCACTTACAATCATCAAAATAACCATTTAAATACTTCAATATAAGCACTCAAATAAGCAATTAAAAACATTAAAATTAGCAAAAAAAAATGTACGACAACAATTATTAACACAATTTATAATATATTATGGTTTAATTTTAATACTTAGAAACCAAAAAAAATCACCATTATGAAAATTAAAACTTTTAGCCTTTTAGAACACTTTAACTTTTTGATTATACTTCTTAAATATTTTCTGAAAAATGTTTGAATAATCGAAAAAAATTTCTTAATTTGGCTGATTAGTAGATAAACGTGAAATTACGAGTTCGGGTGTTAATTATTAGGAAATATGATATAAAAGAGAAAATTACTATTATTTTTAAGTTTTCAGCACAATTAAAGATATACTATATATTAAGTATATCTTTAATTGTGGTTTCCAGAGAACAAAAACAACATCTCTGCTATATTTTAGGTCAAACCATCAAAATAAGCAAATGCTATAAATCCCGAGCCATGCTTATAAATGTATTGTTATCGTTTTAAACTTAATTTTATAATTATATGTTTGATATCGTTGAAAATAAAATTATATGTAAGAAAGTATTAGTTTTTAGAATTTAAGTTAAGGAATAGATTTATTGTATGATTTTAAAACTTACAAAAAGATGTTTTTAGGCACATTTCTATTTTCATTTTATTTATTTGGCACAAAACCTATAGTAAAATGTTGGCCTACTAGAGCATGCTGATTCTGCACAGTGCACAGAATAACCAATTTAAGTCGGGCAATGGTGTGTTCTGTCACTGGATGGAGTATAGACAAGGCAGTTGATACCGAAATTATAAACACAACACTTACCTATAGTTACACTTTTTAGGTATCAAGTATTAATTGAGTGATCTAGTTTCATTATAGTAAGTAACAAATTGAATGCTGGGATGTACATTGTTGGGGGACAAGGGTTACTATGCAGCTACATTAATTTATCAATAACCAAACTCATTTCTCTGCTGACAAATATGAATTAATACACAGTATACTTTTCAGCTTCTTTCAACGGATCTTGCACACCAGTGGTTATATTCTATTCAAGTTAAGAACGTTGCCTAGTGGTAACCAGTTTTGGTCTCTTCCAATTGTCGACCATCTGTGAGCCTGCTGTATAAGAATGCTACACACTTTTGCACAAGGCAGCCGCTGAGTACGGTTCTTAACTTGAATAGAATATAGAATAACAAGTAAACAAATGCAGCTAATGTAGTTACTAGTTATCTTGAATATAATCTACAAGTATTGGATTCAATGGGCTGAGGTTAACTGCTGAACGTACATTTTGGACTTTGGTACTTCTGTTATATGTCAGTAAGATAGAGACAATACATGTGGGTTTGTTGTCCTCTCAACTTAGAATATAAATTATATCTTTTACTATTGTTAACATTATGAAATAATTGTTTAAGTTAAGTTAACCAACCTACAGAATATTTATTAGGTATATTATATAAATTCCGACTTACCCCCTTTCGGTACTTAAGTCGAATCCAAAAAAATGACGATCCTCTTCCAACTCACTCTGTTAAGGTGGGTTAACAAACGAAAACGGGTCGGTGGACTGGATGGTAGATATTCTCTTCTAGACATTTGAAAAAGAGTACAAGCATTAAAATACTTATTAATTTGTTTGTAATATAATATTAAATATATACTTACTTGCCCGTTACTGATGCACGCGAGCTACGAGGAAATAACACACACTAATGGTGGTCGCAGAGACGTAACTGGAAAGTAGCAGCACGCAAATACGCACCATTCTGCATTCAAGATTCCAAAGATTCAATGAGCCAGGTTCAATGCATATATTATCTATTTAAAATTACCCAATTCACCAAGGCGCTCGATTTAATAATAACAAAAATAACAACATTGGACAACATCTTATGATGGAGTGCCATCAGTCATCACGGTTACACTACAAAACAGCATTGGCTAGGTTAGGTGACCGGGTCAAACAAATTATTAGTGAACACGGACGTCGAGTGCCTCGACTGTAACCGCCGTATTCTGGCGTTGGCCTTGACAATGTTCGTCACATCGTAGTTCGGTCTATTTCGTTATTGTTATTATTGTTCTATGATCGTAGACATGTGTACACATGTTTTATGGGTATTAACGCAGTATTAGGTTCTATTGTTATATCTATAAATAAATTGTAATTTTAGACCAGCACCAGGGCCGGCGCAAGAAGTAGTGGAGCCCTGGGCGAAACCATGTTTTGGCGCCCTTAACAAGCCCCTCCCCCCGCCTAGTTTGAGTAGTAGTAAAATTAAGTTTTTTAATAATAAGTTAAATAAAATTAGTATGTATCATAACTTTAAAAACAATAAATTCGAAAACAATAAAATTTATAATAATTTAATAATATTTAATAATTGTGTGTGTCAGATAATTGTGTCTTTTTGATTTACACTGGTTATTTTCGCCGTAAGGTCCGAATGGGTTTTACCGCCGCGGTTTTTCTGACAAATCTAGATGTAATCGTCTAGTTTTACGAATTTATTTATAAATCGCTGAATATATAATATGAAAATAATTATTACGACCATCTATATATTTTATTGACCCACACAAATGCGGTGGTATGCTTCCGTGATCCATAGTTCCACGCATAATTTTTACATAAAAACCAGAGGTATCGAATATCGATGTACACTGTTTTATTCTTACATTATACAAATATGAAACAATTGCAAATGCATCTTCAATTTAAACGACATTAGATAATTAATATTTTAAATTATACAGATTATCAATACTCAATGCCTATTAAAAGATAATTTAAATAAAAATAATTTTCAGTTTGGCGCCCCTTAAGTGCTGGCGCCCTGGGCAGTCACCCAGGTCGCCCATAGCTTTCGCCGGCCCTGACCCGCACACACTGCCACAGACGCTACGGCGAAAAGCGGCATAGTGACGTGCAACATGGGTTCCTTCATGTTGTGGAGGAGACGGTTCTTCTGCTGGACCGACTACCTCCAACAAGTCGCGGTGTCACAAAAATAAGAACTAATTCTGTCTTAGATCAATGCTTTTATAAGGTAAATACTAAATCGTATATTATGTACAAAGTAAGAGTGTCGTGAGGACTGAGGGCTTTTTTTCCCCTCGGAGCCTCAGACACGTCGGCATTTCTTCCACGGGTCCGACCAATGGGAGCGCGAAAAAATATCGCGGCGTTATATCGTTTTGAAACATCGCCTCGGCCTTATCACCGTGAGACTTTCGACGGGATTCCTTCAACATTTTTCCTTTTCGACCTCTGTTCGCCGCCTTCTGCGCCGTATTCGGGTGGTTCGTTTCTTTTTAAATCCGTACACGTGCTGTTTATCTTCCCATTAGGTTCTTATGCTTCGAAATCGTGTTTACAGACCGAACCAAAGTCGTAGAGCAGAGTCTTACACTTACTGTTTTTTTTTTTTTTAATATCCCTCTATATAATTATATAATATATTGTTTTGTCCTTCTCTCGGTTAAATATCAAATAAACACATAAATAATACGAGATACCTATATGAAATAGAACTGTTCTTCGACTGTGTTACAAACGTCAGTAAGAGTAGTCCATGTCGGTGGTTCAATATCTGAGGAATCTAGGAAAAAAGGCAATTGAAAAAAAAGCAACAGAAAAAAAACGAAAAGAAAAAAAAACAAATGAAATAAAAGCACGAAGAAAAAAAAGAAAATGAATAAAATGCATAGGTACAAAAAAATAAAATTCCAAGTATAAAATTAAATGCATATTGGATTAATATTGCGTCAATATAAAACATAAATTTATCATAATATAATTTATAAAGTAAACCTTGTGGTATGACTGTATGAGATATAGTAAATAAAAAATTTGGTAGATCACGTTGCTTATCTCTATGCTCTTCACATATTTTTTTTATATTGAATTGCATTTTTTCATACTTCTTAAGTTTTTTTTTTGGTTGCACAGTGCCCAATAACCGTTGCTGGAGTTTTGTCTCATCAGCTGCAACTTCCAGTGTCATTTTCTTAATGAGGTTCCAAATAGAAGGGTGCTTATGGCTTACCAACTTAGAAAATCGATTATTAAAACCTTCAGTTTGGTTATTTGAACGCTCGATATTATGTAATGTACTTTCGTGTACATTCCAAATTTTAAGTGGAAAAAGAGGTGGTACTTTTCGGAATTTCTATTTATTTCTTTAGCCAATACGTCTGTATGTCCCATTTACGTAGGTTTGATCAAAATATTCCACCAAGTCATGTGCTTCTTCGGGCATGATTTTACGTAAATGAGACATTCCTTCAAATATGTCAAATACCGGCAAAAAAGCCAAACTATCAACTTGTCCACAAAATAACATGAACTCATCATTTTCACGGTACACTTTGTCGCACACTGTCCATATTATTTATCCCACGGTTGTTTTCATTAATTATCGTTAAGTTATCCATAGGACAATTGTAGAGAGTATCTGTACATTTTACTCCATCTTTGATACGTACATAATTATGAAGAACACAGTAGGCTTTTATAATACGAACACAAAAATAGATATTCACATCAATTGGGCAGTGAAATATACGCCATTTGTTTGCAAGAATCCCAAATGTACACTCAACCACACGACGAGCTCTTGTATGTATATAGTTAAAAATTCGCTTGGTATAGTTTAAATTTCTTTTTGCATAAGGTCTTAAAATGTGATTTCCAAGTCCAAACGCTTCATCACCAACGACAGAGAATGGAATGACATTTCTGTCATCATCATTTGGCAAATGCCTCCCGGAGGAGATATTAAGCTGATTTTCAGAAAGCCGTTTTCCCATTTCAGACGTTTTAAATATTTCTGAATCACTAGCTATTCCATAAGAACCAACATCTATGTAAACAAATTTATAATCTGCATCTGTCCAAGCCATTAAAACGCAAGAGAAGAATTTTTTGTAATTAAAATATGATGTTCCGGAATATTCTGGTTGTATCATCCTAATATGCTTGCCATCTATAGCTCCAATGATATTGGGAAAGTTTGTGCGAGTATAAAATTCGTCAGCAATTTTAATCCAGTCATCTTCTTGTTTGATTGCCATAAATAACGGTTGAAGTATGTTCCATATTTGCTCACATGTAGATTTAGTTATATCACGTATTGTAGAAGCTCCCATTAGATACTCAAAAGACAACGAGTTGAAACTAGCTCCGGTAGCCAAATATCTGGAAAGAATTAATTATAATTAAATATTTATTATAACATTGAATTCAAATTTAATAGTTCCATTACAGTAACCCACTTGTTAACTACTGTACAGCAGAGCGACATCCACTTACTTACCCGCTTTTTTGTATTTCAAATACTTTCAAATACTTTTTGATCGAAGTATTATAAATATAAATTATAAGTTAAAATATTGACAAAATACGTAATATAATGACGAATATTTGCAAATCATTTTGTGTTAGGAATTTATAAAAAATTTTTTACTTTTAAATCTAAGTTTTCAAAATGTAATACAAGATTCCTCATAAGTTTGTCTACCTTTATAAAAAAAATGTCTACAAGAAATTCACATTAAATTTTAAGTTCAAAATTTATCTAAGTCTCGAACATTATTATCAATCATCAGAATTCAAAAATTATAAAGTATTCAGTTTTTATAAATGAGGATTGAAATTTTAAAATAAAGATCCTCATAAATAGTTCATACTGTAACCAAAAAATTTAATAAATTAATTAATTCAGTTTTTTTACAGATATTTTATATTCAATTGTAGACTAAATTACGTATTAAAACCAATAATAACGATTTTGGTTAATTTGTTGTAATTTAAAAATATTATTCATGGATAGGTATATGAAACTTTTAGAGTAAATTGTTATATTTTATACACACAATGAAATTTTCAAATGTAATTTTTTTGGTCAATATATATTGTACTTATTATTATATTTTCATTATTATTATTCAGGTCATGAAGTGCAAAAAACATGGGCTAATTTACGGACTTGTTTTCGTAGAGAATTAAACGCCCAAAAAAACACAAAATCAGGACAAGCTGCAACCAAGAGGCGTAAATATGTGTATTTTGAAAAATTATTATTTTTACTTCCTTGTATGGAAATTCGCGAACAGAAGGTAACCTGGAACCAAATGATTCTCATGAAGACGAAGACGACAACAACAATAACGACACTGGCCCTACCACTTCAACACCTATTCCTAATCGAAAAAAGAGGACTAATGTATCGAAACCAGACGAGTTGGACGAAGCATTAATAAAAGCATTAAATCAGCCGGTTGATGAAGATACAAATGTTGCTTTATCTCTTGTCCCATCACTCCAGAAATTAAACGCAGAAGAAAAACTCGATACTAAAATTGGTATTCTTAAAATTTTTAAACAAATAACACTAGCAAGGCGTTTTCAGACAAGTTCTCAATCAACAAGTAGCTACAATGTCTTACAGCGACGTTGTCTTATCCTGTATATCATCCAGGGAGTAACATCATGCCACCACCACAACTATCTCAGCATTCAAATTATACGTCCAGTTTTACCACACCACACAGTTTGCCTACGTTTCAAGATATTCAAAATACTCCATCGCCAGAAAATTCTAATGATACAGTTCGTTCCCATTTTTCAGATGATACGGAAATATATGACTTATGAACATTGTAATAATATTATACATATATTTTTATATTATTTTTCAATATACTTAATATTGCGGTTTTAACTTTAATAAAATAATAAAAGAGAATTAATAATTTTTGTGGTTTATCTTACCGTATCGTAACACTCAATCTTTCTTCCACAGGTATGGAGAGTCTTAACTGTGTATTCTCCTTCGCTATTGCTGGTCCAATTAATTTGACGAGTTCATTGAAGCTAGTTATGCTCATACGATAGTAACCAAAAAACTTTTCTGGGAAATTCAATAATTTGGAATGCAATGTATGAAATTTTCCATGCAATAATCTACTACTATAGATTGGATGCACCCAATATTCTCTATTTCTCTTCTTCATTCTCTTCATAATCCGTCTTCGTTGTATTAACGCAATAATAACATTTCTTGACAACATTTTTAAACGAAAGGTATACTAAAAATCGACTACTATCGTCAGCAGAATTCAGTACCTAGTGTACAACTCAATAAGTTTTACAATTACCTCTCGATCAATAATGTCAGCTCTGAATCTACCTCTATTCTATGTAACATACTGCCCAAGTGAATCCCTTTCCATGGCTGTAACCTACTCAGTTATAACTGAGTCATTTGTGTACCCAAGTGTTTGTAAAGAACAAAGTAACCATGCAGTATATTATCTAAGTAAAATTATTTTCTAAATATTCTATTTTAAATTAGCCATATTGTATAGTTATAAATGTATAATCAATATATTATTATTATTATTATTATTATATGATAATACAATTGTGACAAATAAAATGTAAAAATAAAATGTACGAAAATTAGGAACCTAATTATTTTGTATGATGCGTACTATGCAGGTATGCTAAATATACTTAGTTATAAAAAAATATTACTTGCATACCTATATAATATTGTAAATATAATTTTACATTAATACATAATAGGTCTTACCTCTTTCTTCTTTTTCAGTAGATGAAAAATTATTCCAATTTGTAGAATAAACTGACCCCCAGGGGAAACACTACATGTGTTACGGGTATGGTGAACCCGGGGCCCCGAGCTCCTCTCCTCCCTAGGTAAGGGAGGTTGATCGTAGGGCTAACAACCCTACATCGGAAAACACTCCAAATGTTAAGAAACCACAAAACAAGCCTCGGATATGGAAGAGATTAGAGAACTGGACAAAGACTGGAATCGGAAAACTGCATCAAAATTGGGACTTGGAATATTAGAACTTTAAATAAACCGGGTGCGTTACAATGCATGCTGGACACTACCCAAAATTACAATATTGCTATACTAGCTTTACAAGAGGTTAGATGGCCTGGTGAAGGAAACATAAAAAAGGACGATAAAACAATTTTCTATAGTGGTAACAGAAACGGAAAGTACGAAAATGGAGTAGGATTTGCAGTAAGTGAGCCTATCTTAACACATGTCAAAACATTTCAAGCAATAAATGAACGCATATGCTACATACGATTAACAGGACACATATTTGACATAGTAATAATTAACTGCTACGCACCAACGGAAGAAAAAGGAGAGGATATCAAAGAAAGTTTTTACGAAGAACTAGATAGAGTATGGGATTTAATACCCAATTACTGTGTTAAAATTGTACTTGGAGACTTAAATGCTAAAGTGGGAAGAGAGGAGATGTACCAACCAACCATAGGTCGAGAAAGTCTCCATGACAAAAGTAATGACAATGGCACACGCTTAATTAACTTCTGTATGACTAATGGATTGACCCTAAGTAGCACATACTTCCCCAGAAAAGACATTTATAAACAAACATGGATAGCACCAAATCGAGTGGTAAAGAACCAAATAGACCATATAATGATACAAAATAAACAGAAAGGATACATACAAAATGTCAGAAGCTATAGGGGTGCCGATGCAGACTCTGATCACTATTTAGTCATAGCAAGATTCGCATTAAGACTTTCAGAAAAAAGAAGAACAACCAATATAAAATCATCAATAAAATACACTATTGAAAAACTTAGAGAAGAACAGATACACGAGTTTTATAGACAAACCACACATGATGAAATATTAAAATTAATAACTGAAAGTAATGAAGAAAATATAGAACATACATGGAAAAATATACAAACGACAGTTACAGAAGGAGCAAAAAAGTGCTTAGGAATATGCAAAAATACTAAAAAGAAACCCTGGTTTAATGCGAATTGCAAAGAAATTATAGATAAAAGAAATAAATTACGAGAAATCGCACTAAAACATCCTACAAATGAAAATATAGAACAATACACAGCAAGTAGAAAAGAAGCTAATAAAATACTAAGAAAAGAAAAAAGACTAGAAGAGAAAAGAAAGATCGAAGAAATGGAAAATAACAGATATAACCCTAAACAATTTTTCAATACTAGTAATACTATTAAGCAAAGTTTTAAACAACAAACATTAATGATAAAAAATCAAGTAGGAGAGCTGGTCACAAATAAAAGGGAGGTTGCAGAAGAGTTCAAAAGCTATTTTGATAAACTACTTAATAATACAACTATTAGAACAAATGAACACACAAATATGCAATATAGTACAGTGGAGCCATACATTAGCTCGCCCTCGAGATCGGAAATCAACGCAGCGATTAATAGACTGAAAAATAATAAGGCACCTGGAGAAAACCACATAGTAGCAGAACTAGTGAAAAATAGCGGAGAAGCAGTGAAAAATGAAATGTGGAAACTGATCAACATAATTTGGGAAAAACAACAGATACCTGAAGAATGGAATACAGCCATAATCTGTCCAATATTTAAGAAAGGAAATATACTAGAAACAAAAAATTACCGAGGAATCTCCCTTTTAGATACCTGTTACAAAATACTATCTTCAATCCTATTAGAGAGGTTAACTCCCTTTGCTGAAGAAATCGTTGGAAGATACCAATGTGGTTTCAGAAAAGGTAGATCAACAACAGATCAAATTTTCATTCTCAAACAAGTAATGGAAAAACATTACGAATTTAATAAAGACTTATACATGGTATTCATCGACTACAGGCAGGCATACGATAGTATACATAGAGAAGAGTTATGGAAAGCCATAATTAGCTTTGGTATCCCAAAGAAATACGTTGATATGGTAAAACTCTGCAATGCCAAGACCATGTGTAAAGTAAAATTTTTAGGAGAGCTGTCATCGGAATTCGAAATTAACTCAGGACTACGGCAAGGCGATGCCTTGTTCCCTGACACTATTCAATATAGGTTTAGAGAAGGTCATAAGAGAATTAACACATAGACAAAGGGTGGCGATATTAGGGAATGAATCGATATTAGCGTATGCAGATGATTTAGTCATATTAGGCAACACCAGACAAGAAATCACACAAACTACATCTGAATTGTTGGAAGCTAGTAAAAAGATGGGGCTATGCGTAAATCAAGAGAAGACTAAATTTATGGTACTCTCTAGAAACAACGAAAATCAACATAACTTACAAGTAGGTAATCTAACTTTTGAAAAAGTGGAAAACTTCAAATACCTAGGAGTGAACATAAATAGTAAAAACGACATGCATCGAGAAATAAGTGAAAGAATAGCTAGTGGGAACCGGTGCTATCACAGTATAAGTAAACTACTAAAATCCAAATTACTGTCAAGAAAATCAAAAACTTTACTCTATACAAGCTATCTAAGACCAGTAATCACGTATGCATGTGAGACATGATCCTCAACGAAAGGCGATGACAACAGATTGGCAATATTCGAACGAAAGGTACTTAGAAACATTTTTGGCCCAATATATAATACAGAGTTAAGAATTTTTGAGAGAAGGAAGAATGAAGATCTATACAGACTATTTTCAAAGCCCAATATTACGACGTATATAAAAATTAAGAGAATGGAATGGTTTGGACATGTATGGAGAGCCGATGGCGACATAATCAAAAAAGTACTAACAGAGGTCAGAGACCATACAAAAAAAAGGCCAATAGGCAGACCACGAACGAGGTGGAAAGATGCGGTAGAGAAAGATATCAAGATGCTGGGAAGAAATATGACAGTTGACCTGTCATTGGAAAGGGAAAGATGGAGAGAATTGCTTGTGGCAGCTCAGGTCCTACAGGGACCGTTAAGCTAAAGAAGAAGAAGAAGTAGAATAAACTGAGTCAGCTACCTTCATCCAACATGATTTTTTTAAGTCCTTATCGCTGTATTCTTTAGAACTCATGTCCCATAAACAAGGATAGTTCTGGACTTCCGAAATTAATTTCTCCGTAGAATATATGTTAATTTAGGTATGTTAATACAATTAAAAACTATCAATGTTTTATAAATTATAAAATATTATAATTTAAATTTAAAACCGCAACCGATAATCCCCATGTGTGATCGGCTCAATATTAAATAAAGTGTTTTAGGATATTTTCCGAACCGCATCGGTAAAGTCAACCGCAACCTGTTGCAGCCCGTTCCCGACGATTTCAAATCGGTTCGCCGAATCGGTCAGTCTGGCCCTGATAATGCGGTTTAATGTTAATTATGGATGTCGCGGTCGTTTAACGATCGGTTGCGTTTTATCGGCAACCGACAAAACGCATAGTTCGATCCGGCACTAATACACTAATACAGTAATACCTACCTAGTAACTACAGCTAAAAATTAAAATGTTAATGTACAATAATATAAATTTACTTGTAGGTATGTATAAATATGATTAAAAATTAAAGTACCTAAGTATATATGTTAAGAAAAAAATTGATGATTAAATAAGAATTTTTATTTCATCTGGAACTAAAAAAGGAACTAGTTCTTTTTCCAAAGAAACGACAAAGGAACGAATTCTTTTTTTTTAAAAGGAACAAGGAACGGAACGAATTCCTTTTTATAAGGAACTTGACAAACACTGGACTAATAAATAACTATCATCTTAAGTACAGCTTCACCTGGCTGAGTCAGCATTGTACATGTCCTGTCTGGCATAGTAATAACACTGTAAAATATGATTTAATTATAACTCATAAATATAAGATTTGCAGTGCTGGACTTGAAATAGGGGGGCTCTATTTACTTTAAAAAAAGAACATCCACGTCACTTGTTAAATTTTATAATAATAACATAATAATAGTAAGAGTTTGCTAACATTTCTGAAAATTAGTTGAGGTACTCCATGCTCATCCAAGTCAAGCATTGAATACCTGTATATAATATACTATTTTATAATAAGTAAATTAATTATTTACTGTTCTCTTACAGAAAGCACATGCTGTAATTTCCAGCTCCACGAAGAACTCAATTTGGTACTCACCTCATCATATGCCGATGGGCGACCTGTATATCTTAAATCGTGGGACCCACTCTCCAGTATATTTTAATTTGTGGTACCTATTTTACCTATTAACTAACATTTATAACTATATCCAATAAGACATTAAAAATTTAAATCTTCAGGTACTCACATATTTTTTACTCCAAGCTGAGGTCATTCAATGTATTAGTTTTAAATTGTGTCTGTATGCACAAAAATTAGTCAGAAAAATCATCTCCTTTAAGGAGATATTTCTTTTCTTAAGGTGAAAGGAACAGGGAAGGACATTAATTTTGATTTTCCAATTGGATGCCCATTTTTCTATTTTTATAAGATGCAATTAGAGATTGGATGATGCTACAATGTTATTACAATGTTCACTTATTACTGCTGTGCCATCTGTGTAGCAATTAGAATATTATTAGCATTTGGTATGTCTGCAGTGAAAATAAAAACTTTTAACTTTTGTTCTCCCAAAGTTTAAATTACCAACTATTTTGTTTTCTATATGTTAAAGCATTTGTATGGCTCCAAAAAGTCACGACAGCTAAACCTTTGGACAGGTCATCTCACTCTGCCACTCTGGTAATACTTTAAGATGAACAACACAATTATGTCATTCTCCGTGGTCGATTTATTAATTCAAGTACAATTAAAGAGTAATTATCATCTATCAACATATTTTCTAAACTTACAATTAAAACTCTACCTCTATAAAAGTCACCAATATCAACCAATTTAAATAAACAGCATTCACTTTGGATTACTATTAACCTTGTACTGAATTATCTGTCTATGACCTATGTACTCAACTTTTTATAAAGATGTCATAATATGTTCATAATGATGTGAAAAAAAACAATTGATGTATCAATTTGCATATATTACACTATTGAGTTCCCAATCCACAATTTCATTTTCATAAAATTATTATTTTAATCATCAAAACATAATAAAAAAATTAAATTAAATCCAATATTATAACATTTAAACTTTGTAAAATTCAAACTATTAAAATCATATTTTTTGAGCAAATAGGTATCATTATTATAATTTTTTTTTTTATCGACACCCATCTGTGATTTGATCTGTCAATTTATACTATGCATTTAGGACAAACAAATTGCTTCATTGGCACTCCACATTCCATAACACAATAAAAGTGGCCATTCCGACATTTACGCCAATGCCTTTGAGCTTTACTGCATCTTGAAAAACTGGTAGACATAGCAGCATGAATTATCTGTCTATCTTTAACAGCTATAACTGCAGGCTCATCAAATTTCTCATAAATCAACTCAGTAATTTTTTTTATTTTTTTATCTCTGTCAACAGTATATATTTTACAAGACATTAATAGAGCTTCCATTTTTCTTACTGAGCCTTTTAACTGAATCGCATGAGAACTATCCATATCAAGTGCCTTCTGAAATTTTGAACTGGACATGATCTCATATAAACTCATAATCCTTGCACCACGAGCCATCTCCATGTTGATATCAAATTTTTGCTGATTCGATAACTGCTGTGAATAAGTGAATGCAACAGAAAGAATCCAATCAAAGTGATTAATAATATATTCTTTTCTTTCGGCATCTTTGAGTTTTTGAATTCTATTTTTATACTTTGAAGTAGATTTAAACAAATCAATGACAAAATTCAATGATTCAATGTCCTTGGCAGGTAAAGAGAACTTAGAACGTTTTTGAGTCAAAGATCCAAGTAAAGGCTTGCAAAATGTATCCCATAAATGTTTGATTCTATAATATCTATGTTTTGTATCACAAATATAATTTGAAAAAAAATTGTTATCCAAGGATCTTAATGAATCAATTATTGTTTTCATTTTGTGGCGAATTACAGCTACTTCCCCATATTGTTTTATTTTTATTTTTGATATGTCTTCTAGTATAACTTTTACTTGATTCATAAAACGTTGGGTTTTTAAAATAGGTGTCTTACATAAAGGACACTGTTTAAAACATATTTCTTCATCATTTAAGTTCATCCAATTTATCAATGTTTCAGATTCTATTATATGTTCACAATCTACTAAATAAACAAACCTAAAAATATCACATGATTAACATTAAACAATACGTAGAAAAATCACTCTGATACACGACACTCATAGAATATATTATTAACTTTGTGAGTTAATTGTATAATCTATATTCAATGTAGTATAAAAAAAATATAATTATATATTGATATGACATATAATCTTAGAATTTTATGCCAAATTGAATCATTGGCTTCTACGAATATATAAAAATGAATAATTAATGAATAGGTACAATATAATTTATACCTATTAGTAATATATCTATTAATTTCTGAGATTTGTATCAAAATAAAAAATATAAATGGCTCACAACTATTCCTTACAATTTACCTTGCATTTTGTACATCTTCATTGCTAAAAACAATTGTTGGAACTTCATCTTCTTGACAAATGAGGCAGAGAGGGGGACACGGTTCACCACAAAAACCTATACACTCAAGCCCACATATCAACTTCAACATGCAAGGCATAAAACAAGGCTTTCGATCACATATTTCATAACATTTTCTGGTACATTTCAAATGTGGACACACCCACTCACATTTTTCCTATTAACAAAATCAAAACCAACATATCAATTATAATTAAAAGATCCAAGTACTTTTAACAGAATATATAATTAATTTAAACATTCACAACCAAACATTTCTAACATCAAAAACATCCACATTATGTGGCTGAAGGGAATAAAAATAAAAGTTATACATTTATAATTTTATCAGTTATTATTTATTTATTACCTCACATGGTATACATGCATTTCCACACAAACAACTACATTTAGAATGTAAACATGAATAGACACATTTCTGATTACAAGGTGGACACCGTTCCTTACAAGGGAATTTACATCTGTAATTATAAATTATTATACATGATTATAAACAAACCAATAGGTTTTAAATAAAAATGTTTACACATAC